AAAAATTCTGAAAAATTATATAAAAAATTCTCATTGAGAATTCTCATCTTTCTGAGAAAAATTTTCATCGGAGTTCTTATTTGGAATTTAATTTTCTATTTTGCATTTGACACCAAGATTATTTGAATTTGAATTTAGAAGACATTTTGAAGATAAAGAACTATTTTTTTTTTAAATGAATAGCAAAGTTCTCTTTAAATATATAATTAATAATTATCTGTATACAAATAATTTCTTTATATACTTTATATAGAGTAATAAAAAGAACTTACTTGGTTTAGATGCAAAGTTTGTCCATGGTGCTCCAGGTGGAAGTGCCACAGTTAAACTGGCAACGAATGCCAACAGGCAGATGGAAAGTAGAAGTGCTTTCTGTTGGGACATTGTACTGAGTAACATGGTCCATGTCATGAACTCGCTTTTATAATAACCATTGACTAATAATCCTTGCAAAGTCTCCAGGATTATCTACATGCATGGAGAATGTTGCGGCCCAAGCTCCGCAACGGAGCCTTATTAAAATAATCCACTCGCCATATGTAGAACTTGCAGATGTGTTTTAATTAACCGAAACAATTTCCTCTCAGAGAGAAATGCCATTTCCTTCTTAAAAGCGTAAGTATGTCTATTTTAAACAGTGGAGATAATCGTACTTTCTTAACGAAAGAATATCAAATAAAAGATAAGAGAAATTACTGCATTTAACATTTAAAAAATATATAGTTGTAATATAAGAGAAATTAATTTTTTTCTTTTCAAAGTCACTTATTTTTCTGTTCACTACGTATATAAATAGCGCATTTTACGGATGCGATCGGATTTTAGTCATTTTACAAATGAGCCATGTATATTACATCGTCAGCTGTTTTCAATAATGGAAATACTTCAATTATTTCACAAATACCTTATTTTGACTCATCGAATTTGGTAGGATACCTAAAGTCGTTATAAACTATTTATTACTCTTGAATCTTACATTATTACGAGTATGGATTTTGAGCAGCGTGAGTAATACATTTCAATATAATTACCCAACATACGAATAATAGTTGCACAGATTGTGGTTATTAATTCCATCGTATATATTTATATGATTATTTATCATGGTATTTTACAGTTGTAAATGGAAATTATTTGATAAATATTATAAAATTAGATTAATTTTTTTAGAAGTTTTACATATATAAAATAATACAATTATTATTATT